GAATGCAACTTGGTAGTACTATCGATCGACGTGCAGATAGACCCCGTCAAAGGAGACCTGACGAAGCCAGACGTCGTCGACTTTTGGTGCGCAGCGATACGGCAGGGCAAAATATTTGGTATTGTGGCAGGCCCGCCCTGCGAGACGTGGTGCTCATCGCGCTGGCATGCCGCCGAGGGGAAGGCACCTCGACCACTACGTGCACATGAAGCCCCCTGGGGCATACAAGCAGCTAGCCAAGCGGAGCATCAACAGATCGCACTAGCCAACGAGCTATACAGGACAGCTTTACTACTCATCACCACGGGCCTGCAGTACAACGTCTCAGCCGTACTCGAGCATCCCGCCCCAGCCACATGGTGCCCCCAAGCGCCCAGCAGCTGGCAGCGAGCAGAGACGCTCTGGCTCCTGGAGCAGACGGGCGTCGAACTTCACTACATAGACCAGTGCCAGTTCGGGCAGGACGCGAGAAAACCAACATGTCTGATGGCGGCACATCTCGGTGAACTCGCACAGGAGCTAAGGGCGGTACCTGGGGGACAGCTATGCCGACATGCGGGACATGCCGGAGTTTACGGACGAGACGGCCAAGGCGGCTGGAGGACCGCCCCCCTCAAAGAGTATCCATCAAGGCTGTGCAAGGCAATGGCTACCGCCTTCGCAGCCCACTGGGGGCAGCTTGCTGACGCAGAGGCATTGTGGGCCGAAACGGACGACTGCTACCACAGGTTCTACGCCCCCTTGGATTACTACATGGAGACAGACCAGATCGGCCATGATTGCCACAGGGCATGGGGCAACCATCGGCGCTAGCAATTGGCACCGCGGCGGCTTATTTGGTGCAGCTAGGCGAGTCAAGCGTCCAGTTTTATATACTTTTGCCCCGTAAGGGAACACTGGTCTGCAATTTGGCGCAGACCACCGGCTTGCTACAGATCTGATGGCAGATGGCATTACAATATTCTATACAGAGTATTTCAGATTGGCTGCAGAAGTCTCAGCGCACCTACGGCATGGCCCAAACCCTGTTGCTAACGGGTTACTGGTACGGATGCGACCTGGACAACGATTGCGTGCCATCTCGAGGGGGGGGGGCCCGTAGCGCCCATACGGGTGGGCACGATCCCTCAATGGCGACGGAGCGTGCCCCCCCCTCGAGCACTTGCTGGATTTATCAACTTTCTTAACACTGGCATTGTTTACTATGAGGATTGGCCCTGGGCAGGCATTACGGCGTGCTGCTTAAGTCCTGAGGAAGCCCCGAATGCGTGGGAAGACCTCAGGCAGCGGCGCCAACCTTGGTTATCGTTAGAACGCAAGACCTGGGGAAGCCCCGAATGCGAGGGAACACCCCAGGCACAAGTCGCCACGTTTTGATGTGTACCGCGGCGGCTCCTGGAGATCTACAGTATGGATGGCGCCAGCTGGCTGGCAGCGGGCGGCCCATTGGCCGTCAGCGTATCACCGACCGACATCGACAGCATACCCAACACGACCCCCTACAACTCCTTTCAAGTCAACGCTGTCCTGGTGAGGATCAAACTTCGAGACGGGCTCGAAGGGCTGGGGGGGAAGGACGAGTACTTCCCGCGCCCGCCAGCGGGGATGGTGAGGGGCAGGGGGGGGGGTAGGACGGCCACTACCCGCGCCCCCGCGGTCCGCCCTAGCTCGCCACCCCCACCATTCCCATGGAGAAGGAGGAGCTACCCGATCGCCCGAGGGCGAAGCTGGACAGCCGAGACACACCACTCCGACGACAAGTACCAGGCCTGGGGTTCGCCCCCACCGAGGGCACCGTGACCCCTAGCCATAGCGGGACGAGGTGGGACAGCAACGACCCCCACTTGAAGTCGGTGCATGGAGGCCTTGGGAGCCCACCACTAACACAACACCAGCAACAGCCCGATCCCCAACGACCTCGCCAACTCGCTCCACATCTGCACGCAGCCCCATACAACGACATCCACAACATCCGAGATCAGTACCCTCCTGCAGCTCAAAAGCAGGGGGTCATGACCGACGGCCCTCGCGTGGCAGGCGAGGAGAGTGCTGCAGAGCCGCTGAATCCAGAGGTTCGGCGGGCCTCCACAGCGCTGAGCGCCGAAGGGTGGAGGCCGCCGCAGAGAAGGCGGCCATCCACCTGATGACCTGGCGGCTGGGCTCAGTGCGAGGCGCCGAAGGGAGCCCAGCCGCCGTACATGAGACCGCTAGGCGAGGAGAGTGCTGCAGAGCCGCTGAAGTCAGAGGCTCGGCGGACTCCACAGCGCTGAGCGCCGAAGGGTGGAGGCCGCCGCAGAGAAGGAAGCCATCCACCTGATGACCTGGCGGCTGGGCTCAGCGCGAGGCGCCGAAGGGAGCCCAGCCGCCGCACAAGAGGCCGACCGCCCACAAAGAGGCCGAGGCTAGGACAGCGCTGCAGAGCCGCTGAAGTCAGAGGCTCGGCGGGCCTCCACAGCGCTGAGCGCCGAAGGGTGGAGGCCGCCGCAGAGAAGGCGGCCAGCCACCTGATGACATGGCGGCTGGGCTCAGCGCGAGGCGCCGAAGGGAGCCCAGCCGCCACACAACAGGCCGACCGCCCACAAAGAGGCCGAGGCCTGGCTGCGGGCCGAGCTGGCTGAGCTGGCTCGGGCGCGCGCGGCGCCTGCCGAGGGCCCAGATGGGCCCTCATCTTTTTGTTTTACTGAAACCCGGCCCCTCTCTCCCTTCTCTATGATTTACTGGTCCCAGGCTCCCTGTTTCCCTCGGGGCCGGGTTCCCGGGGCCGCTGTCTGAGCGCCCGCACGGCCCTGGTGGGCCGCTGCAGAGCGCTCCGCGCCCGCGGGGCGCGCGACAAGACGCTGCATAGCGAGAAACGCAGAAACGCAGGGGTGGGACCTTGGGCCAGGAGCACCCTTTGTGCGCGCCGCCAGGCCAACCCCCAGGGGTGCGAAGATAGCCGCGCTGCGCGCGTCGCGGCCCAGGGTGCCCTTCGCCGCGGCGGCGCGAAGGCGCGAGGGCGGCCGCGCGCCGCGCCATCGCGGGGCGCGCGGCGCGCAGAGCGTCGGCCACCCATGAAAAGGAGGGCTCGGAGGTGGACAGACCTCCTACCCTGACGCGTCGATTAAGGAGGGCGTCGCGGCCGTCATTTTTGCGGGTCCAGGTCCGTCGATTTCGGCCCTAGGTCATTTTCCCTACGGGGAGGTTTACTAAAGGGAGGCTTGTCCACCGCCGGAGGGCCCGCTGGTCCGAGGCCCAGGGTGAGGCCTGGCCAGGGTCGGTGGTGGTGCGCTGTTGGGGGGTTCGCGGAGGGGGGGTTGGTTTAAGTCGGGCCTGTCCCTCGACGGGGGGGATATTCAAAAATAGTAACAACATCGTACGGGGACGTTTTTGTTGTTGTTTTGTTTTTGTGCATATTTTTGAACATTATGGAGCATTTTTGGATCATTTTCTGTTGATCGCCCAAAAACCACCTGTTGGGGGACGTGTCCGACCTAAGCCCAGGGTGAGGCCTGGCCAGGATCGGTGTTGGTGCGCTGTTGGGGGGTTCGTGGATCAGGAGCGCAAGAAGGACGTACGCGTACATGAATCCACGCTGGTTTCGAGAGTTACGCACTGCCCGAGTGTTCGTATCACGCGGCCAGTCTCGAGGATCGAGGGGCCGTGTTCATGTACATAGGTGGGCGCGTTGTCATGGCGCCAACATCGCAGAGCGGATTTCGTTTGGAAAACGATGGGATGGGCCAGGAGTGTCCTGGAGAATCTCGTTCCGGATTTCAAGTGGAATTTTGTCCGGATTTTTCTTGGCCAGGAACGAAAACCAAAAATCATCCACGCGAAATTCACTTCGTTTTTCGCTCGCCGCTTCGGGCAGAAATCCACGCAGAAATCCACGCAGGAATCCGCTGCAGCACGTCTGCAAGTCCCGTGCAATGATGGGGTTGCTCAGGTCCAGGAGCGAGTCCGGTCGGATACCCACGTTTCCTCCTCTGCTTCCGGGGGCCGCCCAGAGCGATTCTCCTCCCAGCCACACCTCTGCCCCTACCGTAGGTTCGTGTCGTGCCGACTGGCGGCGACCCCGCCAGCGGCGTTCAACGTTGAACGCCGCGGGCGACCCAGAATCGTTCGATGTGGAACGATTTTTGGACGTTTCCGGAAACGGCCGACGATTCAGGGCTGAACGATCCCCGCGGTGTCAGAAACCAACGCCGAAGTCGGCACGACCCGAGCCTGACGTACCCCACCTTTCAGGAGGGAAAACCACACACACAGACACACTTCGTCGTCGACCCCCTGGAAGATATATGGGAAAATACGGGACGCGGGGGGGAAGACGACGACCCAGAACATACGGAAAAATATGGGGGATGCTTTTACAAGGGCTCCCCCGAGGGCGCGAAGTTATTCGCGCTTCGCGCTTCGCGGTCCTCGTTTCTCCTCCCCCTCCTCCTCGTCCTCCTTTTCTCCCTTTGGGGGGGCGGCGCGAGAGCGCGAAGTTATTCGCGCTTCGCGCTTCGCGGAGCGCGAAGCGCGAAGTTGGGAGCCCTAGTTTTATCTGTGTGTATTCATGTGTGTGTCCCAGGGCCCCTTCGACCTCTGCGGCCTCCGAGCTGCTGGCGTCCTCCCAGATCTGCCGCCGCCCAGGCGCCGGCTGTCTGCGGCGCCTCGGTCTCGAGCGCAGTGGGCAGGAAGAGAGCCGTCGTCCGCTCGCCACGGCGCCGCGCGGCCCTCCTCGGTGCCGCCTCGGCCTCTGCGCTGCTCTGCCTTCGCTCCCTCGTCGCCTGTCCTCTCGGTCCGATTTTCCCGCCTCGTGCTCTCCCTTTCTGCTCCTCCGTCGCTCTTCCCCTGTCCTTCCGCTCTCCCCTCCCCTGCTCCGACCCCCGTCCAGAGGAGAGATTTATGAGAAGCGGGGCAGGGAGAGGATGGAGAGGGGAAGGGGCAGAGGGAGCGAGGCGGGTGTCCGATGCCCGCGCTCGCTCTGGCGGGTGGCACGAGCTTCTGAGGCAAAGATCTTTGACTTCTACATGGTGTCGCAGACCTACGTAATCGGGACCGCGAAGCCGACCTTGTATTCGGTGCTGTACAACACCCTCACGTTCTCGCGCCTCGAGGTCATGCAGTTGACCTACCGGCTCTGCGCCGTCTACATGACCTTCGGGGGCCTGGTGTCCATGCCGGCCCCCCTGAAGGAGACTCAGGGAGGGCCGCCGAGAGGATAGGCTGCCGGCCTCTGCCTCCTCCTCCTCCTCCTCCTCCTCCTCCTCCTCCTCCTCCTCCTCCTCCTCCTCCTCCTCCCCCTCCTCCTCTTCCTCCTCCTCCTCCTCCTCTTTCTCCTCCTCCTCCTCCTGCTCCTCCTCCTCCTCCTCCTCCTCCTCCTCCTCCTCCTCGAATCGAATCGAGAGAGGAGGAGAGCTGGCGAGGTCCCCCGCAGGGGCGCGAGGGCGCCTCTGCGCCCCGCGCCTCGCGCTCGGGGCTGGCGAGCCTCTCCGGGAGGGCCGGCGCGAGGGCGCGGCGGCCCCACGGGCAGGCCGGGCAGGCGGGCCCTCCCCCCGGGGCGGGCCAGGCGGGCGGGCGGGCCCCTGCCCCGGGCGGGCGGGGCGGGCGGATCCCTGCCCCAGCAGGCCGGGCGGGCAGGGTTCCGCGCGCTCTCGCCTCGACGCCGGCTGCATTTTCTCTGAAAGCGAGGCTCCCGCACGAGCGTTGGCTTTAGCCTAGATGTGGGCCCTGGGAGGCCCAGCGACGACAACAGCTGCTCCCGCTCGAGATTCCCTCTCAGTTCGCCCCGAGACCCGAGGCCCCCGAACTCAGGAACGGCGCTCTCGCTCCAGACTTCTTCGCACTTCAGTCAGTGGCCGACAAGGAAGAGATTTCCCCGAAAGGGGGTGCAATCGAAGACGAAATGGGCGGGTATCGAGGGTTGGGATATGAGGAATGCAAGACACGCGTGCCAATAAGAGCGAGCAGTCTTAAAATGATTGTTGAAAGGTAATTACTAAACAATTGTTATTGTTGGACCCCTTACAGGCGCCCTGGCGCTCTCGCCGAGGCGCCGGCTACATTTTCATTGAAAATGAGGCTCACGCTCGAGCGGTTTGGGGGACCGCCAAAACCGGCCTCCCAACAACAACACTCCCGCTCGAGACTTCCTCCTTTTTCTCAGGGCTGGTGTTTTTGCTCGCCGCCGAAAGCCGCCGTCCTAACAAAACCAGCGCTCCCGCTCGAGACGTCCTCCCATTTTACCTTGGACTGGCGCGCTAGTCTTTCTCTCATCGGCGCCGCCCCCAGCAAAAACAACGCTCCTGCTCGAGGCTTCCTCCCTTTTTTACTCAAGGCGGTGCTCCTCCTCGCCGCCGAAAACCGCCGCCCCGACAAAACTAGCGCTCCCGCCCGAGACTTCCTCCCGTTTTACGCTGGACTGGCGCCCAACTCTCTTTTTGAATTGGCGTCGTTCCCAGCAAGAACAACGCTCCCGCTCGAGGCTCCCTCCCTTTCTCCTGAAGACGGTGCTGTTCCTTGCCGCCGACAGCCCCCGTCCCGACAAAACCACGGGCTCCCGCTCGATGCTTCCTCCCTTTCCTACTCAAGGCGGTGTTCCTCCTCGCCGCCGAAAACCGCCGTCCCGACAAAACCAGCGCTCCCGCCCGAGACGTCGTTTTGTTATACGCTGTACTAGCGCCCTACTCTCTTCAGCATTGGCGCCGCTCCCAGCAACAACAGCAGCCCTGCTCGAGACTTCCTCCCTTTCTATTCAGGGCCAGGTCCTTGCCTCACCGCCGACAGCCCCCATCCCCACCAAGACAATCCTGTCGTTCGATACTTCCTTGTGCTTTACCTTTCGCTGGAGTTCCATTAGCGGTCTCGCATCGGCGCAGCAAAGCGCGGGCATGTGTTTTCGAGGCGGGATATGTTGAAATTCCTCGGAGGAGGTGTTTGCAAGACCTCATTGGGCGGGAGATCTGGGAGTGGGAATAACGGACCCCGCTATAGAATAAGAGTCCCCAATGATGTGGATGGTTATCATGATGGTCGCATGCCCCGTGTGGAAACATCGGGCATGAGGATAACATGTTTGTTGTTGCTGCTGTTGTTGTTGCTGCTGTTGTTGTTGATGTTGTTGATGTTGTTGTGGGTGTTGTTGTTGTTGTTGTTGTGGTTGTGGTTGTGGTTGTGGTTGTTGTGGTTGTTGTTGTTGCTGTTGTTGATGTTGTTGATGATGTTGTTGTTGTTGTTAATGTTGTTGTTGTTGTTGTTGTTGTTGTTGTCGTTGTGGTTGTGGTTGTTGTTGTTTTTGTTGTTGTTGTTGTTGTTGTGGTGGTGGTGGTGGTTGTTGTTGTTGTTGTTGTTGTTATTGATGTTGTTGTTATTGTTGTTGTTGTTGTTGTTGTTGTGGTTGTTGTTGCTGTTGTTGTTGCTACTGCTGCTGCTTTTGCTGTTGCTGTTGCTGTTGCTGTTGTTGTTGTTGTTGTTGTGGTTGTTGTTGCTGTTGTTGTTGTTGTTGTTGTTGTGGTTGTTGTTGTTGTTGTCGGTGTTGTTGTTATGGTTGTTGTTGTTGTTTTTGTTGTTGTTGTTGTTGTTGTTGTTGTTGTTGTTGTTGTGGTTGTGGTTGTGGTTGTGGTTGTTGTTGTTGTTGTTGTTGTTGTTGTTGTTGTTGTTGTTGTTGTGGTTGTTGTTGTTGTTGTTGTTGTTGTTGTTGTTGTTGTTGTTGTTTTTGTTATTGTTCTTCTTGTTGTTGTTGTTGTGGTTGTTGTTGTTGTTGTTGTTGTTGTTGTTGTTGTTGTTGTTGTTGTTGTTGTTGTTGTTGTTGTTGTTGTTGTTGTCATGGCTGTCGTCGTCGTCGTCGTCGTCGTCGTCGTCGTCGTCGTCGTCGGCGCCCCCCCATCCCATCTGGGGGCGGGCCCGAGGGTCCCTGAGACCCATCCCATCTGGGGGAGGGGGCCCGTGGGCCTGGAGCCCGGGATCATATACGATCGGTGGCGGGCGCGTGTTGGCCATACCGCACAGGTAACGATACATACTGCATGATGGTTGTGCTATAGGTTCGGTTCGGACGTGCGCTGGGGCCTCCCCCTCTGGAGGCCGCCTCGGCCGGAAGTCCCGTCCCGCGCCGCCAATAGAAGCCTTGACCAGGAGACTCCAGAGCGTACCTGAGAAATCCTGGCCCAGGAAGTGTCGCACCCGTGCCCGAAAACGCCGTCGCTCTCCAGCTCCTGCCGCGTGTCTGCCCTCCACTTCACCTGCCTCTCTTTCCCCGGCTTCCTGCCCTCCTCTCCTCTTTTGCGCCTCCAAGGGGGCCACATAGTATTGGCGGCCCCGTTGGAGGCGCAAGGGAGACCAGGATGAGGAGGCGGAGGAAGAGGAGGAGGAGGAGGAGGAGGAGGAGGAGGAGGAGGAGGAGGAGGAGGAGGAGGAGGAGGGGAGGATGAGGAGGAGGCGGAGGAGGGAGGAGGAGGAGGAGGAGGAGGAGGAAGGCGGAGGGCGGAGGCGGAGGCGGAGAGGCGAGGGCGGAGGCGGAGGCGGAGGCGGAGGCGGAGGGGAGGAGGAGGAGGGGAGGGAGGAGGGAGGAGGAGGAGGAGGAGGGGGAGGAGGGAGGGGGGGGGAGGAGGAGGAGGAGGGGAGGGGGGAGGAGGAGGAGGAGAGAGGAGGAGGAGGAGGAGGAGGAGGAGGAGAGAGGAGGAGGGAGGAGGAGAGGAGGAGGAGGGTGAGGAGGAGGAGGAGGGGTGGGGGAGGATGGAGGAGGAGGAGGGGAGGAAGAGGAGGAGGAGGAGGAGGAGGAGGAGGAGGATGAGGAGGAGGAGGAGGATTGAAGATCGAGAGGTCTTCGAGCGTTTTCGATCTCTCTGGGCTTCCAGAGACCTCCAGGGACCACCAGAGACCTCTGGGGCAGAGAAAGAGGAGGGAGAGGATTGAGAGATGCAGGATGACTCACGGCTGACCCTTGTTGCTCGCTCATGTTTGTTTAAGTTGCGACGCATTGCAGAGGGGAGTCAATCCGAAAGCCACACCACACGCCACACATTGCCCATAAACACCTCGCACAGTGGACACCACTGTCCACACGATCCACGCCACCCCACCCGCATCGACCGCAGCATCACACCAGTCAAACATCGCACCGCATCGCACATCGCACCAGACAGTGCATCGCACAGCACGCCACACCGTAAATCATCACACCACGTCGCGTCAATCCACCCCACCCCGCTCCGCACCACTCCGCCACATCAAACCACGTCTCATCACCACAAAAAACCGACGACACACCACGCCACATCTCATAACACCACGCCACTCCACACCGCAACACATCACACCATGCCACGCCACACCGCACCGATCGTACCACACGCACCCCACATCCTGCATCCTACACCCCACACACCCACACCTCATGTTCCTCATAGCGCATACACACATACCTCACAACAGGCACCACAAGCCACACGCCACGTATCGCACCCTACACCCCAGACCTTACATCGCACGCCTCGCATTCCGTACTCCACTCTCGCACCTCGCGCCCCGCACATGGAGTCCATTCACCAGCCCTTTCCTCAAAATTCCCCACGCCGCACTATATCTCATCTTCCATCTCAATATCGGTCTCACTATCGATATCACTGTCGATATCACCATCGATCTCACTATCGGTCTCACTATCGATCTCACTGTCGATATCACCATCGATCTCACTATCGGTCTCACTATCGATCTCGCTATTGATCTCACTATCGATCCCACTATCGATCTCACTCTCGATCTCACTACGGGACACCGACGCCGATGGGACACCACGCTCGGACACCGACGGGCCACCGCCAGCCAATGGGGTGGTGTTGGTAGTCTTTCGGCCTGGCGGCGGCGCCACATCCAGAGGAGGGTTCATTCCTCTCGCCCGCCCGCGCAGCTTCGCCGCGTCCGCACGCACAGCACGAATACAACACCGAAACAGATCTCCTGGTCGGGGGATCTACCTTTGGCTGCGATCTCACCTCCTTACTTCCCATCTTCCCAGGTGTTCTCTGCCATCCGTTCCGTCTTTGCTGCCCGGCGTCGAGCGGTACTTCGCCATGATGGGATCGAAGCCGTTCAGTCGTGTCCCCCCTCAGTACGCCGCCAAGCTGCTCAGCCTGCTGTCGAAGTGCGAGAGCACCCCGCCGCAGCCGGCAGGAACGACCCAGAGCTGGAGGCCTGGCCAGTGGGGAGGGGAAGGGACAGAGTAGATCGTCGCGAAAGGCAGGGTTCTTTCAGGGTGTCCGCAGTTCGGTCGGTTAGGCTGCGTCGAAGTGGGTCGCGCTCGGTCGGTGCGGTTCGGTAGTTTTTCGGTTGTGCTGTCGTCGTTGACGGCCTTGTTTCTAGAGAGAGAAGGGTTCATCGAGTTCTTTGGATTAGTTTCGCCGTTTACGGGATCCTGGCCCCCCCCCCCCACTCCTCCTCGCGCTGAGGAAAAATTGATGACGGATGGTATTTTCTGGACTTTCGCCTCTGGGGGCCCTCACAGGACCTCCTTCAATAACGACGCAGGATGAAACAAATGGTCCTGAGGAAGGGGGCCAGAGCTCTAGGGATCCACGTCGTGACAAAAACAAGGAAAGAAGGATCTCCTGTAGCAGCATCGGTAGGAGGAGCCTCCCCCCTCCAAATGTTTCTCCCAGTCCTGATTCTGACCCCAATCCTAATCCTAATCGTAACCTCCTCTTTCTTCTCCACAGGGGTGTCTCTGGAGATTCAGGGAGTTTCCAGAGGTCACCCAAGGTCCACAGCGGTCCAAAAGGGTCCCCCAAGACCTCCAGAGTCTTCCGGAGGCCCAGAGCTGGCCCAAAGCGCCCGAAAACCTTGCCATCCTTGATCGATCCCTCTCCTCTCGCTTCTGTTGCCAGTCGGCGGCACGCCCGTGTGAGAGAACACCGTGAAAGCGCTACGCCGACACAGGCGATAGGGCAAACTGCTCGGGGCCAGGGCGGGCCGCCTCCTCCCAGGTTTGGGGCTCCTCCTCCGAAAGCCGATGGAACCGAGCCGAAATCCCCCTCGAGGCCCAGAGCTGGCCCAAAGCGCCCGAAAACCTTGCCATCCTTGATCGATCCCTCTCCTCTCGCTTCTGTTGCCAGTCGGCGGCACGCCCGTGTGAGAGAACACCGTGAAAGCGCTACGCCGACACAGGCGATAGGGCAAACTGCTCGGGGCCAGGGCGGGCCGCCTCCTCCCAGGTTTGGGGCTTTCATCCGCGAAAAGTGCCCTCCGTAAAAATGAAATAAATAATGGAACCGACGAGCCGAAAAACCCACTAACAACCTAACCGCCAAATCCCCCTCCCCCTCCTACTCATGCACCATCCCATCTACACCCCCTCCCCTACTCCACCTCCCCTCCCCTCCTGCCTCGTCATAGCGAAGATTGCGACCGCAAGACTCCCGAACAATCCTTCCTCCAGCCATCCCTATCCCCCTTCCCCCCCCCTCCCCCCCTTCCTGCTCCTCCTCCCCTCCTCCCCCTCATCCTTCTCCTCTTTCTCCTCCTCCTCTTTCGCCTCCTCATTCTCCTCCTCTTCCTCGCCTCGCCTCCCCCCTCATCCTCCTCTTCATCCTCCTTCTCCTCCTCCTCCTCTCATCCTCCTTCCTCATCCTCCTCTCCCCTCCCCCTCCCACTCCCCTCCTGCCTCCTCCTCCCTTTTCTCTCCTCCTCCTCCTCCTCCTCCTCCTCCCATCCACTCCTCCTCCTCCTCCTCTCCTTTCCTCCTCCTCTCCTCCTCTCCTCCTCCTCTCCTCCTCCCTACTTCCCTCCCCCTCCCCCTCTGCCCTCTCCTCCTCCTCGTCCTCCTCCTCTTTCTTCTCCTCCTTCCTCCTCCTCCCTCTCCTCCTCCGCCTCCCTTCCCCCCCTCGTCCTCCTCTCCTCCTCCTCCTCCTCCTCCTCCTCCTCCTCCCTCATCCTCCTCCTCCTCTCCCCCTCTTCCTCCTCCCCCTCCTCCTCCCCATCCTCCTCCTCCTGTCTGCTCCTCCTACCTCCTCCTACTCCTCTCCTCCTCATCCTCCTCCTCTCCTCCTCCTCATCCGTCCTCCCCTCTCCTCCTCCTGCTCCTCCTGCCTCCTCCTCCTACTCCTCCACAATACACATATGAAAATACTCTCCCATTCCCCTGATGGCGTCCCGAAGGATATCCGACCCACCCGCGTACTGTTTTTTACACACAGGATTCCCGGGAACGTTGTTTTGTTTTTTTTTTTTTTTGTTTTGTTTTTTTGTTTTTTTTGTTTTTTTTCCCCCCCCCCAAAATGCTGCTCTTGCTGAGGCGCCGGCCTCATTTCTGCTCCCGAATCTTTCCGAATCGTGCTCCCGCTGCAGCGTGGGCCTCATTTTCGGATCTGTGTTTGGCCTCCGTCGTTCAGGATGGCGTTCTCGCCCCAGCGCGGGCCTCTTTCTCGCGCGCCCATCCGCCCGCCACCACCGCGCCGCACCACCACCACCACCACCACCACCACCACCCCACCACCACCACCACCACCACCACCACCACCACCAC